TATTAGTATATGCAGTTAACTCCACATTGCATTTCTACCCATTATGCACCGTCCTTGCGCGCAGTGCGCGTTACTCGTCGGTCCTTCAGACGAGCGCTAATAGGGTTGGCTTTGAACTGAGTCGTTGAGGTTACTCCAATGCTTTGTAAGAGAGTCACTTTTTTTTTCTCCTTCTTTTTCGCCTTGCGGCTGAGTTCATCTGGTCCTACCAAGTGCTCATGACCTTCTTCGATTTCCCTTTTCTCCTTAGCTTGGAAGATGGTGATCTGGAAAATTCAAATGACGCCGATCGACGTGGGGTTTTGGCGGTGAACACAGAAAGAAGCATACACGAAGATAAGATATCCCTAGGAATTCACCCTCCCTGCTTTGAATTCTTGGCTTGAGGTAAATTATGAGTTGTCAGTGCCCTGCACTCTAAACGTCACTTGCAAAACGTCGATGATTGACTTTGGTGAGCTTTGCGATAAGCACTGATCCATTTAGTGCTTATTAATGAAGCTTTAGTCTAACAGTCTGGATTCAAAACCCTCGAAGCAGAATAGATTATAAGATGATAATGTTATTGACTTATCGTTTAGTCATGGTTATTCGATGGGAAAGAAGCGAGTCACTCTTCAGAGGGTTGCATATTTGCTTGCTAAGTTCCTAATGGACGGAGACTAGGGACACTGTCTCAAGACACAGGTTTGTTCAATGAAAAGGGCTTGTTGACTCGATCCAGTCCAAAACCCTTCTGTGTATGCCGACGTTAAGATCACGTTTGGTGTGAGAGCAAAGCTTGTTGTCATACCGAGTCGTATGAAATGCCCTTAGTGAAGGCTGAGTGAGCAATGCGAGGGCAGAATTGAAACATGAGACCCCAAATAGGGACCAGGCTTGCATTGTTTTGTAGTGCGGTCGTTACTTGAAACTCCCGTGGGGCTCTAGTCTGTTGACAGTAGCCCTTCGCCACTGTACCTAAGTGTGAGGAAGAGCTGAGCAGCATCTAGTGTGGGGTCACTGTCATGTGACTCGTTACTGGTAGTCCCGAGTGTATTCTTCGAGTGGGGTTTATCAATCATTATGCTCTGTGTACTATTCAGATCAGGTCCGTCGCCAGAAAGATGTGGCGGTCAAAGATTCACTTCGGTGACGTGATCACCTCTGATGCCTTGCTCAGCACGTCGACTTTACGCCAGCGTGGGATCTGGGTGAAAGGCGCTAACGTCATTTTGTGTAAGGCCCAGAGTGAGGGTTAAACTGATTTTCAGTGAAAGCTACTCAAATGGAAGAGAGGTTCCAAATGTTGCTCCTCATGTTAAACCAGATTTATTCTGAATCCTCCTTACGTATGCCATTTTGTTCGCGCATTGAATCACCGTTGACCATTACTTGAACCTACCTGATTCGTCTAACCGAACATTTGGCTGAGTCCAGCCCTTAGACTGCAGAGCTTGCGCATATCACAAGCAGGAATAACCTGCGTCTGTACTCAAACCCGTTGTGTCAGGTACTAACCGAGTCTGAATCAACGTGGGCGTCGTGTGCCCTATCTAGGGTTACTGTTGGAAGGCGACCTGTGCATTGCGTGAACAGTCCCTATGTTTAATGGCTAAGCTTATACAGTGTAAGTAGCTGGAACTAAGGCCAACAGGCCCAACATTACAGTATACAAACGAGAGTGATCAGTGAAGTGCTCGCTGCACGAAGGCAGACTCGAAGCCCTATGACATTGTCATTCGGTGTGTGTCGGTTAAACGAAAGCACCAAACACCCCACCTTGCTAGGTACCGGATGAACGAAGTGAAGAAAGGGGCGTCTGTTAAAGCGGCTGACTCGATCTACTGTAGATGGTGATGGGCATTGGCTGGCTCTCAATCAGCGCTTCGGGAGCAACTCAGAGAACCCAATTCAGGGCTAGTGTCTACAGGGGTCTATCCTTGAGTAGTGCCCGATAAAGGCCCATGTCACGATCACCACGTCTCTCACGCAAAAGGTGAGAATTGAGTCAGGTGAAGACCTTTGGGGAAATTGCACAGCATTATTCGTTTTCAGGTTAGCTCCAAAACAGACTGAGCTCACCGGGCACCTAGCAAAGCCTCAGATATCGACATCAGGAAGTGAGTGTTGTTGGTCTGTGAGCCAGCATTGGATGTTTGACTGGTTCTCTCTTCCTTATCTAATGTTTAACCTGTAGGCCAGAGCCTGCTTCCACACTCAACGCGGTGGTGACACATAGCTAACATTTGGGGCACTAGGCAATTATTGAACTGTTGGACTAACGTTCACGATCCTAAGTTTAGGAACAGCCCTCTACTCTGCGCGTGAAAATCATTAAGTTTAACTGCAGTCTACTCTATCTGCTACCTAAATCCAGAGGGGTATAAATAAAATTATGAAAAAGGAGAAGATCCTCGTGCTGAAATGCAGATCAGAACAAGACAAAAGGAGGGATGGGAGGAAGAGGCAAGCCGAGACATGGAATTACATAGGAAAGTTCAACGCGAACACGCGATTCCGATGGTAAGGAGGGAAAAATATATTGAATATGTAATTTATTTTTATGGTCACAATGGCCAGTTACAAAGTACTGGTTCGTTGCTAGAGACAGTGCAGCAGGCTAGGATGAGACTCGAGTAAACACGGAGGATGTCCAGGCTTCCCTCTTGAGGTTCTCGCCAGCATTCTAGCTAACGAAAACCCTTCAACAATTCGCAGCCTTTCTAGTGGACGTTGTTCGGTGATCGTCACCCCATCAAAAGCCCAATCAATCGAGTTACCAAAACACTCGGTCGGAACTCATTCAACAGTATTCAAGCAATACTCAACAATATTCAAGCAACACTCAGTCAACACTCAATTATTACTCAATAAGTATTCAATCAACATTCAATCATTTGAGTTACTCAAGACTTTCAGCCAGAATCAATCGGTACTCAGTCACCCTCCTTTGTTTTTATGTAAGAGACCACTTCTGGTCAGACAGATTCCCCATTCAAAAACATTGGATCTGTCCCAAAGATCAACAACACATGAGTGTAGTCCAGTCATCTCCTGTCAGTGAATCAGTCCTGGCCAATCTCAACAAGATAGCTCTCAAGGACTCAATTCAATACCAGTTCGTCAGTGCTGTTGGCTTCAGCCGAGGGGATTTGTCAGCCTTTGTTGTCCATACCAGTTTCGCAGGGGCTTCTATTCATGACCTGATGATTTATCCGAAGAAGGGGAAGGAGACCCATGAGCACTTCAATAAGGTTTGGATCACAACTGCCCGGTATCTCGAGGAGAGAGAAAAAAAGCTTGATGAGGGTGGAACAAAGTTGATTCATAGCTTCGGACCCAAACTCTATTCTGACTATCCCAGACCTCCAGTTCCCTTTCTTCTCACTGACGATTTTTGTAGGGGTGACCTGGTAGAACTAGCCAAGAGGTACATTTCTCCTGCAGTGATCGACTACGAGGCAGTCACCGAACCGTCAGATTTCCAGCATCTCAGATGAGGGATCTTTTCTCAGCTGTATCTTCCTACGCTATGGGAGGAGTTTTGTGCCATCGTTGACTTCCGCATCTTGGGACTTGGATGAAAGTGTTCGGAGCTAGCAGGGTTCAGATGCTCTATATTCAGAGACCACAGACTCAGTGGGTACGAGAACATGGCTTGAGGCACAAGAAATGCACAGCAAAGTGAGAAATTGAGTGTGAGATTCATAGGGACGAGTGAGGACTCTTATTTGGTGCTGGCCATGTCTCCTACATGTGTACTTCCTGAGACTATTATGAGTTATCATTCTTCCCTCACTTAGCTTTGTCATTGCTCAAGTCAGTCAGTCTTGCTTCTTGCATTGTCGTTGTTGGTGATTGCATTTCTCTGATGACTCTGTCACGGTTCTCAAAATTAGTAAACTGGCAAAATTGATGCTGGCACGAAACACCATAATTTTATGATTATTATTTGCATGATTCTTTGTTGTTCTGAATCAAAACAAAAAAATTCCTAAGACCGGGGACCGGCGAAGATCGCAATTGAAAGGTCTCGCTCGAAGCTGGACGCACACAACAGGAAGGGATTTGCTTTGTTTAATTTATTTTATTTATTGCAAATATCATCCCAAATCCTGCATGACAGCCTGTTGGCTTTCTGGTCGCCAAAAGAGGCCATACTAGAAAACGTGCGACAAAAATGGCGTCGTTGCCGGGGACATGAAAAATTTTCGTGTCCAGAACGAGCCTGGGTCAGCAAACAACTTTGAGTTTTTATTAGGCCTTGAAAATTGTTGACATTTTCTGAGAATTTCAGAATGACTTTATTATTGCAATTGAGATGCAATTCTCTTGAAAGTTTCAGTTGCTAATTGAGTCCCATCTCTTCGTGTGTGACGTACCACACTGGACTAGAGGAGGAGGAGACTGAAATAATTATTGGAGAAGATCGAGCTTGGTCTCAGGTATGCCATATGAGCTCTTGACTACTGAAAGAGATTGAGAAAGAAGAGAACAAATTATATCCGCGAGATGTTGGTCAACGATGCATTGAAAAGACTCTCTAAATTCACTTCTAAGGAGATACTCCCCTACCAGTATGAGGGTTGTTGGGTCTATCATTCACATGGTTCAACCATCTGTATAGTGCTGGTTCGCTTCTTGGAAGGAGATATCTATGATATCCGTCCTTACGTCAAAAAGGGAGGATGCAATGATGGTGATAATTTTAACTGGTTATGGGAAATTGTTGTTCAGTTCATCTATGATGAAAGGGCAAACCTAATCAAGCGAAAGAAGAAAGTGGAATGGGGTCTAATGCCAGTAACATATAAGACTGTCTCGGTCTCTCCTATCCATGACAGCTACTGTGATGGGACTAATTGACTACCAATTATCAACATGGTATTGAAATGGGAAAGATGAACCGTGATCATGAGAACTAAAGAGACTTCAACAGAGGAAATCAGACAGAGAAGGTCGAAATTTGGCAGAGGTTCAGACCCAAGTCAAAAGAAGGTTGAGTACCTCCTTAGATCACTGAATACTCTAAGTAAGAGAGAGGTGTTTCCATATGAGGATGTTAGATATGAGATGGTCGAGAGTGGATGGGAGCAGGAACGATTCTATGTACTGACATTTTATTTCATAGGCCTGGATACGTATGATGTAAGAATTTATGTTCCAAAAGAAAGAAGTATTGACGCAGTGTATGGGAGAGGCTGGGGATTTGCTGAAGAATTGTACTGAAAGAGAAAGAGAGACTTGAGAGGCTAAATAAATGCTTCATTGGATCTACTCGATTTACTGTCTTTGAGGGATTTTCAGCTCCTCCCTTAGATAACTGGTCTGCAGTGGTTGAGCTTGCACTGAAAGTGGAAAGAGACCAAAGAACCAAATGAGCCAGCTCTACGTACCTCCAATAGAGAAACCCTGGTTTAGATTGGTAAGGGGACATGGGAAGTTGAGTAACGTTGAATCAGATAAACCGTTAAATTCCCTTAACTCTATAACGAGGAGAGTTGTGATTCTCTATGAGATCGTGAGATATGAGGCACTAAAGAACCCAGGGCGTGAGCAACACAGTGTGTATGTTCTTACCTGTTACTTTATTGATCTTGATGAGTTTGATGTTGGGATCTACGTACCAAGACAAAGATTTAAAGAGTGTAGAAAAGGTTCATGCTGGCAACGAGCATCGAATATCGTGCATGATGAGAAAAAAAGGTTAGAACGGGAAGGAGAAAGTTTCTTTTGGAGTACCTATGTCAAACCTTTCGTTGGAATACCGACTCCTCCTGTTGAAGGGCTTACCTTTTCTAGGGACAATTGGTCAACCATGATAGATTTTGTGTGGACGGTGAAGAGGGTTCAAGAAGAATACTCTCATTAGCAAGGATAACTACTGTGAGAGGCAGACTTTACGAGGTGACGAGGTATGATAATCCCTTTGTGATTTTGAGACATGAGACCTGTGGAAGAGGACGCATAACGTTTCACATTCCTGTGGTCAAATTCCTGAACTCTGGTAGTTTTGACGTAAGGGTTTATACCTCAACATGTTTAAAGGAGGAAGTTGACTCTTTGGAGTTTCTGAGGGGAGAGTATATCAGTCTCATGCGAACAAGAAAGTGGCTTGAAAAGTTATAAAAAAAAATGACATGGGGTGTCGGACTAAGGCTGTTTGAGAAACTCTCTGGGTTTTCAATTGCTGACGGGTTTGAGGATAGGAGAGATTGGATGCCCTTGCTGGAACTATAGTCTGGGTGGGTAGAGCAAGAGAGAAAAACTCTACTATGATGATAAAATTCCTGCTTTTGATTACCTTTGAGCACATATTTGAGATCCCTGATTATGTTCATCCTGCGATCCACCTTTCAGATGTCGTCCATGATGGTTAATAATGTCCAACTTAGTTGAACAACTAACGTTTGGGATTGTGTTGGAAAGGAGATTAGTTAAAGTAGAAGGGACTCTTCAGATCTCTGACAGAAACCTCTCTACTTTGGATGAGCTTGAGTTTTTGCAACCGTTCTTTGACCAGATGAGAAAATCTGCCCCGAGAGCCGTTACTCACTAGACTCAGATCAGCTATTTATTAAAGGTGGTGAAAGTGGAAATTGTTGAGAGAGATTTTGTCTTTAATGCTGAAGAAAATACCCCTTTGTCGAGGAATTTCGCTTACAATTTTGAACATAGTATTAATAATTTACCTTATCAATATTTAACTTATACTATTTTATATTAAATACTTCATGATAGACTTACTTATATCATACCACTCTTCTAGAGAACGAGTTTCTCTTGTAAAGAGAATTAACACTGGCTCATAAGCAATGCAATTTGACTATGAGATTATAGACCTGACACGATACATCATGATCCGAGGTACTGTAAAAGGGTATCAAAGAAGGTTAAGTGGGGATGATGAAAGAGAACTGATTGAAGATTATATTGGAAGACTGAGAAGAATTTCGTTGCCTCTGATCACCACCCAGTCCGTTATTGCCTACACTCTCTATATACAGAACTCTGAAGGGGTAGAGCAAACAAAGGGAAGAGAGAAACGAACCTGTATCTCTTGCAAGAAGAGTAAGAGACTGAAAAATAAGAAAGAGGAGGACAGAAGTGTCACAGAGAAAGAAGAAAGTATCAGGGAGAGTACATGGTTAAAATGGCAGGGCAAGGGAGACCAAGTTCTTCTGTAGGTACTAATGAAGAGGCTCTGGTAGGTGTTATACGAGAGATGGTCGAGAGAGTTGACACTATAAAGGGAGGGTAAAATATCGCAAGAGCAAAGAGGCCAGATGAGAGGATTCCATGCTTCAGAGGGCCTCAAGTAAATGATTTTTTTTATCAGTATGAATTATTTGGGCTCAGTTATGGTTGGACAGACAAGCAACGACTTAAGCATCTTCTATCTTATTGTGACATTGACTCGAGGTTGGTTGTTCAAGAGTTGATGGAAGGGGTCACTACATGGAAAAAGGTCAAAGAAATAATGAAAAAAGAATTTGAGAAAGACTTTGTTCCAACTACTACCAAAGGATCTCCTTAACATCAGAAGAGCTAAGTATGACACTTTCAATGTTTTCCTCCGGACTTTTATCAGAACGGCCAGAAGAATTCCATACTTGGATGAGGCTCAGAGATGTCATATTTTCCTGACTAATTTTACTGATAATGAACAGCAGACTGTTCTTAATCAACCTCAACACTATCCTCTCAGATGAGATGGAATGGCTGCAATTGTCAGAATTCTACCTACGGTTTCTCACAAGAAGTGGTCCTTGAAGCAGATCAATACATTGGCAAAAAACTGGGAGACTCAGAATGGTATGAATAGAGGAAACAATCTGAGTGCTAAAAATATTATTCAACGAGTTATGACCAATTATATGTCTGTTAGTTATGCTGAATACGGAAAAGGGAAGAAAAAGGCAGAAAGTGATGATGATGAGGATGATGATGATGATGATGATGATGATGATGAAAACTATGGTAAAATAGGGGATTCCTCCAGATCCAGAAAGAATGGAGGGAATGGTTGCAAAAGGAACAGAGAGAGGAGGAAGTACGACGAGCGACCAAGGAAGAGCTTTGTTTGCTACTATTGTGGTGAAGGAGGTCATACTACCACTTATTGTAAGCCATTGGAAGAGGATGTGAAGAGTGGGGTAGCTAAAAAGGATGCAATGGGTCACGTCTGTGACAGTTCATGGAACAAATTGGATCCCAGACATCCTGGAGGTATGAGACTTCTTGCCCTTAAGCATGATGAAAAGATGAAGGAAAAAAAAAAAAAAGGTTAACGTGAATGTTCACACTTTCATAGGCGAATTGCCTAAGGGGCTTAAACAAGAACCTGTTGATTCTCTCACCATGATTGAGCTGCCCCTACGGTCCCTCACTTTAGTGGAGGACATGTCTGATGAGATCACTCCAAGCGAGCTTTCGTTAGGGGAGAATTTTGCTTCCCAGATTTCCTCTGAGTTAGTAGCATTTTCTCCTAGCAAGTCTGCTTGTTCGGCCAACATGATGTCATTCGAGGGTGATTTACCACCAAAACTCATTATGAAACTTAATATAGTGATTAGGGAAGTGAGGAATGTTCATGCACACTTAACACCTCAAATGATAGAAGAGAAGAAATTAAGAAAGGCTGAGGAGACTCTGATCGAGATTCTTGATGATCAAGGGTCAAAACCCTTGTCCAAAAAGAGTGAGCAAGGGAAGAAGAAAAAATTTATTCTCAAGAGTGAGTTGGAGGATGGAACTGTAATTACAGATGTAATTACGAAAATGATGGGGGAGACAGAAGTGACTTTGTCTTTCAAAGAGGCAATGACACTAGCACCTAAGTTGAGAGAGAAACTGAAAAAACTAATTGATAAGAAAAGAATGGAAGTTAATTATCTGGGATCGGTCTTCTCCAGTCAAGTTAACAGGACCTTACCCGGATGTAAACTGAGGTTCGTGATTATGGGTTGTGGGTATCTAACTATCTACATTAGTCAAGTGAAAATCCGAGCCTTAGTAGATTCTGGGGCGGAAATGATATTTATCTCCCTGAAGGCAATGAAAGCTTGCAATATGGCCATTGATAGGTCCTCAAACCAAACACTAAGTAACATTGCAGGGGAACTCTTTGTGGCAGGATTTATTGACAATTTGCCTATCAGAGTTGGGATGATGACAGTCGAGCTATTGGGATTCGTGGTACCAGACTTGGATCATGACTGTATTCTGGGCACTACATTCTTACACAGGATGGAGGCTGTCCAGTTCTTCAGTCATGAAGGGTCGTCATGGATTAGTCTACATGATCCAGAGATTGCACAGGAACAAATCTTTATGGTCTGCACCGCTTATCATCATAAGCATAGAGTGTCAGCCAACTCAATCAAAAGGGAAGAGTCTGTTGAGAAGGTAAGAAAATTGAAGGGGGAGGATAAACAAAATGTTAAAGAAGAAGTCTCGGTTGATATTTACCAGATTTCAAAGATGATGAAAACTCTTGGCAAGCTCAAAGATGAAGATGGGCAGATTCAAGCATTTAAAAAGACCGCTGAGACTGCCAAGAGGGGGAAAATGGAATTGAAGTTGGCGTCAACTCATCCTTTTTTAGGAAAATAGTCACTGGGTCAAAAAGAAAATATAAGCCCAATGGGGTAAAAAAAAACTCGGTGGCAGTCCTAATAGAAAAAAATTATGACAAGGTACTGGAAAAAGAAAGGAGAATTATCAAAGCATTAAGAGAATCTGAAAAATTGGGGAATAGGGTTACCAAGGAAAGGTTTGACACGATGAAGATAGACTCAGATCAATTTATTCTGCCTAAAGAGAAGGAATATATCTTCAAAGTTTATCAAGAGTTCTCTGGTGCATTCTCCTTGAATGATGAAGAAAAAGAGCGGTTGGATGTGGTATGATTAAGATGGCAAAAATCTGGACAGTTGATCACATCCCATGAAATGACAGGCCAACCAAGTGTGCCCTGAAAGAAGAGGCAGAAGTGGTGAAGTATTTTGATAAGAAAATTGTGTCTAATGTTGGAGAACCTGCTGATGGACCATATGCTAACCACTGGTTTTGCTTTTGGAAACCAGGAGGAAGATTGAGATGCATACATAATTTTCAGAAGCTCAACTCAGTATTTGTACGTGATGTAGGTAGCCTCCCTAATGCTGATCTCCTTTCTGAATCTTTTGCTGGTCGATGCATTTATTCCTTAATTGATTTATATTTTGGTTATGATCAGTTTCCGATTGATCCCACTAGCCGACCAATGACTGCCATTCACACGCCAAGGGGCCTCATTCAGATGTGTGTGGTACCTCAAGGTTGGACCAATGATGTGGCAGTGGTTCAAAAGGATATGATCAAAGTCATGAAGGACGTCTCGCCTGAGATAACTAGCCCTTACATTGATGATAATCTTGTGAAGGGACCTATGGTAAGAGATGGGACTTTGGTTGGGGATGGTGTCATGAAGTTTGTCTGGGAGCATGCTGAGGGTGTAGGCCCTAGAGAGACTTCCGAAGTATAATCTGACTTCCAGTGGACCAAAGTCACTTCTCTTCCAAGCAGAGGTCACTATTTTGGGCTTTAGATGTTTCTCCAAGGGTAGGAACCCTGAC